CCCACTCCCCTCCCCCATCCCCCTCCCCCCCTCCCCCTGCCTTTTGATACATCTCTGTGGCTTCTGCAATCTCCAGAGTTACGGTCCTTGCACTCCCTTTAATCTCTGCCAACGTCAAAAAGTAGTCCCGAATCACATGACCAAAAAATCATGTGATCCATCGTACAAAATGGCAGCCTCCATAGAAGACATGCCAAAGAAGTTGGAAAATATAGATTGTTTTGCCAAGAATGTGATAGTTTTTAAGTTGAGTGGGCGGAAGTTACATAGTGAAGGGTTCAATTCTAACTTACAACATATATTAGATACAACTGGCGATGTCATGAACAAATTATACGAAGCCGGCGATTCTTTTCATTTTCAAAGCTAAAAAAACACATTTATATTACTACGCTGAACAATACGCTTAAAATATAGTGCAGTATGTATATTCACACCTTACTACTTGTTAAAATTCGTTTAAAAAGTGATATGGCCAAGAAAATATTTTAAAGATGAAAAAAAGAAGTCACTGAAGATAAAATTATCACGATTTGAGACCAAATTTGGTTTTACAAGAATCTTGTAAAATCTGAGACGTTGACAGAGCTGTGTGTGATTGAAAAGGAACGACAACTCTGTGTAGAGATTGTGGCTTCTGGTGTATCTTTTATGGCCCAAACATACTTTAAACCCTTTTTTTTATCATATAGACCTGTACAACCTTTTTTTTTTTTGCGTTGAGGGTCTGTAAGAATGATACATGTACATTCAAGACAATAGACAAACAAACCCTGATGCCATATTAGTCTTTGCTTCTCATGCGATTAACAAGTGAAATTCTTTGGCCACAGAAATTAAATGTATCTTGAAAAAGTTGAATGAGACAGACAGTGAATATATGGAATTTGTGCTAAAGGTATTGTTAGCTTTTTTTAGCTATTTACAATCTTAATTCTTGCATGAGCAGTCCGTACATGTTGTATAAATCATTATTTAAACAGTGTCAGAACTATGAGATTATCTCCCTTGTCATGAAGTCTAACCTGAGCTTGCCACTTGCGCCAGAATCCACCTGCTCCTCGGAACGTTGGAACACCACTCTCTGCACTTACTCCAGCTCCAGTTAAAACCACAATGTGCTTGGCTTTGGCAAAATGTTCCCGGAACGTACTAATATCAGAGCTTGGTCGACCCTGGGGCTATATAGAAAAAGATTGAAGTTACATGTAGGATTTGATTACAATGTACTTTCAAAAAAAATAAAAAAATAGGTGTCAACACATAATGTACAATTGTCAATATAATTACAAATGTTACAACAAGATTGATATTAAATGTATCCAGCCATGAATGGCTTGTTGATACTTATAGAAACTATACAATATTACTTTCTAGGACTGACACAACTAAATCAGCCAATCAGCAAGTGTTTCATGCGTTTGTGATCCCTTCCTAAAATTTGTTCAGGTTTATTACAGTGCCTTCCAGTAATTTAAATTGATATTTCATTGTTGACATGTTTTTCATTTAATGAATGAAATCTACAGATATTTAATTTTAGTATAATATGTATAGTTTTAGTAGATTTTAATATGTGATGGCGGATTGGTATGGGGTCAAAAGTCAGGGGGTGTTCCGGTACCACTTCACCAGTTTGGCTTGTAAACTTTCAGTTGTCAAAAGGAGCTAGCTGACGCCTGTAGCGCTCTTATATGCCATTAAACCAGCCAAAAAATGCCTTTTGAAGCCCTTTTCAGGTTTGTATCTATATGAATCTAGACAGTTGTCACTCTAGTATTGAACTTCAAATATTAAAGCTACAATGTATTAGCTCCGAAGCTTAGTTATAACAGGGACGTATAATACTGTCCCTGGTTATAACATATATTAAATGATTTAGTTGTGAGAGTCTTTCTAGTATAAATTAACTTTATTATTATGAATTACATAATAATTCATATAAATTACTAAATGAGCTAAAAAGTGATTGATTGAACTGTTAACCGTTCACATCGTCTACACATCAATAAGTACAAGAACAAAGGATTAATATAATCTTAATGATTATTTTTTTAAGATTGTAGACGTGATTGGATGGTAATCTACACATTAACACCAATTCATTCACTCAAAATATATTCATGCTATTTATTAAGAGTTAAGTATAAGTTATGAAGTTATTAAAATTTGGTTATCATAATGTCATTTCCAATGTTTCATGTGTTATGACATCCCAATAACAATGTCATATATATAAATGAGAAAATAACCCAGATACATATTTATTATATATGTGATATATAATTCTTTGAACAACCTTTTTTGATAGAATAAAACAGAGACATATATTGGAACCTCTGCCTGTCAATTTATATATATACATGTATATAATTTACTCCGATCCTGCCCCGTTCCTGTAATTGCAATTCTTTTATCAAATATATCTTATACCCGATAATGATACTTAAATGTATCTAATATATATATTCATTAATGTATATAATAATTAATAGGTTTCTGCCCATTCCTGTAAATCGTCGAACCCGCTACATTGTATGGGCTCTTCGCATTAGATTATATTGCTATATAAACATTGATACCCCTTGTGTCAAGAATAATATTATTGTATTTATTGAACAATTCATATTTTAACTGTAACCGATTAAGAATCCATATACATATAAAATATATTGTTTTATTATTTTCATATATCTAAGTGAAATTTGATATAGAGGTGTATTATATTCACATTAACAACATATCTTCTGATGTCGCTTACTTAATCGATGAATTTTAGAGATATGTTCTGAAGACGCTTCTTCATATGTAGAGTTCTATTCACACACGTATGCCACGCCGCCGATCGTAATAATAAATTAATCATTTATCTCGATCATGATTTCAAATATTGAGCTGAAATTTGGAATATATATCAATAAAAGTCCAACTAACAACATATCTTCTGATGTCGCTTACTTTAGCGGGTAATTGTAACGATATTATCTGGCGACGCTTTCTACACTTTTCAAGCTAATACACACATGTGCCACGCCGCGATCGTAAAAATTCAATTCATCATAACTCGGTCATTTTATCAAATATCAAATTGAAATTTGGTACAGAGGTGTATTATAGTCATATTAACAACATATCTTCTGATGTCGCTTACTTTATTCAGTATTTTTAAAGATTATGTCTGGGGACGCTTGTTGTCACTTGAAGACGCTTGTTGTCGGTTGAAGACACTTTTAAGTGAGAATGCTTGCATGACCTCCCTCACCCGTTATAAATAATCTTTTTATGAACATTATTGGAAGTACCTTCACAAATCAATTCAACAGTTCAATCACGGAATTATATTGCTATCCAAGTCCTAGCCAGAGTTTCCTCTGGCCCCAGACTTAGACATTTTGACCAAACGTTCTGTATGTCAAAATGTCTGTCTGGTGTTAGGGTCAGAGGAAACTCGGGCTATCCAAGTCTGTGGTTCAATTTAAATAAGCACATGTGAAACAAAGCTTTAAAAATAAAACTATATCAGTATACGTAATATACAAAATGTAGTACTGTACCGCAGTAAAGCCAAGAAGCCGCCCGAACCGGTCAAACTCTGCAAATGGATCTTTCTGTGGCTTGCCAGCGTCTGCCATTATTGTACGAGGAAGTAGTCGACACAGAGACTGTCTGCAGTTTGCTAAGATATTCATTCGACTCCAGAGTAAATACTCTGTACAGCTACAATGTATGTTGTCAGGTTGTTAGGCTCCGGATGTGTAAATAAAATAAATTTGATTTATAACGACAGATAACGTGATATTATTTATAGTTATTTTGTTTGCATACAGGTAGGGTAGGACTATATTTAAAACTCTATATATCAATGTAAGAGGGGATTAGGAAAGCACAGGAAATATAACCCAGGTTTTTCCAACTCAGATATGATATTTTAACGACGTGGATTTATAATTCAAAATATCATACAGTGTAAACTAATACAGTATTTGAGATATCATACTTTTGGAAGATTTTGAAATGTATAAGTTACTAGTGTCATGCACCAGTACATGTGATCTCTGGTGAAGTTTCAAGAAAACCAGGTGAGAAATTTTGGTAAAGTTGAAACAGGATGTTGGACATGCTTGGTAATATATTACACAAATCACGGACAGGCCCGTTCCGGACCTCAAGAGGGGTCTTGCAGCCAACCAAAATTCAATTTCTTGGTTGTCCCAGAGACGTATATATTACAGCTCTGTAATATATATACGTCGCTGGTTGTCCGAGTTGCTCGCGTTTAGTAAAAGAGAAAAATGCTTCCGTGACCCAGGGATCTAGGAAAGGGGTATCACACAATCGGGATTTTTAAATTACGACAAAACTCCAGGCAAAGCCTCGGGTCAAGTTCTACCTGGTTTAAATACCCTCAGAGGAATTTCCAAACCATACACCCATACGCACACCACGGACCTATAGCTATTAGATCCAATGCCATGCCCATATACAGGTGCTGGACACACTTATATGATGTGTATATACAATTTGTACTATATAATACATTGTATTATACGTATACACATTACAGCAGGTATTGTGTATCCTATATAATCCGAAACCATGTATGTTGGGTATCCTTAGCTAACGTTATGAATTGCAATACTCTGACGTACAGTTGGACAGCTGTTAACATTTACATAACTATATTTTAGCATCAAATTTGTAAACGTAAAACAAAAGAATTAAGCAGAAATGTACATTATTTATTTAAGTGTAACATGTCGGTAAAAAGCTCATCAGAGTGAACACGATAGTAAACCATAACCCTTAACAAGTTATTTCATCTTTAATGTATAATGATGATAACATGGAACCTAAAAACTGACATTGATGAAATTTTGCCTTCGTCACAAAAACTCCTTATGTGTATATGCACGGAATTAGATTATTATTATTAGATTATCCAGAGACATATAAAGCCATGTAGTCCGTGGTATAAGTGCTAGTTTAAATACACAACAGGAAGCATTATTAATATATTGATGTAATACATATCCATTGTTTAATCCTAAAATTCTAAATGGGCAACTGTTTTAACGAATCTGCGCATAAACAAAACTAACTTTAACTCAAAATTGATTGAACTGAAAGCAAAATAAGAAAGAAGGAAGGGAATTTACCGGGATATTCCTTAAAAGTACAAGAAAATACGACCAGTGTTCGGGAAAGGTAAGCGTTTGGTCGACTCCATACAATGACACGTTATCAAGCTGAGAATCAAGATAACAGGTAGTGACACTGGAGGCCATATACGAGCATGATAAAATTTCATACCGCTCTAAGAAATGAAACATTTTTAAAGTAGTTAAATTCATGTTTTGTATCATAAAAATACTCAAATCTTCATCAAAATACTTCTCTCAAAACCGTACAAATGTCCATTAGCATACACCAATCAAGAAAACATGATATTCGGAGAAGGTCAATGAATATATCTCATCAACTGCGACATGTTTAGGGGATGTTACTATCAAGAAATGGAAGTTCGCGCCAGGAAAATCGAAATCGTCACTTATAAATGTGTAGTTTAGAACTAAGCTGTCCCTGTGGGTCACGTGGTAAGTTAAGATTGTGGTAAGCGGCTTATGTAGTCGGGTCTATGTAGTACTAAAATTAATACTCGGCCTCCTCTGCCCCGACCCAATATATATAAAAAAAAAAATCTCTCGTCGTCGGAAAGCTACGTTATCGCAGCTAGGGTCTATGTAATGTCGTTGATTTCAAGTTCACCAGGTTATATGTATATATATACGAGTGACGTTTTCATCAATTATTTCTATATTTAAAGCCAACCGATTATCGATTCATCTTAAAGCCAAATTGAAGGACTTGACAACATCTTTGTTGCCTGTTCTGATAAGCTCTAGCTTTGATAATGTCAGCCTCATTTGAAAGTATAAGTCGATCCAGAGAGTGGCAATGTTTGTCCCATTGTCTTCCCACCAATCTCAACAAAGGTGTTGACCAGGAACTCAATAAGTTCACGATTTTATCTTGGACTTTTTCATACTGTTTTTATACAAAATATCCTCCAAAATAATTCTCAACCATATGTATTTTTATGTTCAGAGAACAAAGACGCTCCTTCTTAGTTTGGTATGTGTATCTGTGGGTATACGGCGCAGGGTCCCTCAGGACATGTATCGCGTCGGTAATCTATAGTAGTTCTGAATGGTGAGGGTTCCTTTGAAACTTTTAAACCTTGCTGCCCTCCTTTGCACTTGCTCGAGTCTGTTTATGTCTTGATGTACGTAGGGGACTCAGACGACTGATCCGTACTCAAGGATGGACCTAACAAGGCGTATAAGTAGGCCGTTCTACGACATTCAGTTGGGCAACGTTTGAGGTTTCTGGTGATAAAACCGAGCGAGCAGTTCGCTTTCTTGACGTATGGAATTGTTCAGGGTCAAAAAGTCAAAAATTAGTTTTGAGAAAATTGACCAAAATATCTTTAGGGTTATTTACATCCCGATGAATCAATTTCGATTCTATATAATGCAGTGTCACGATTTGACTGAAATACTGATTAAATTATTTTAAGTGTTTAAGTCTGGAATTTTGATAATGGATTCTGTGAGCAACTAGAAGAGCCAACGGCAAAACGTATATAAGGATTGTGAAGTTTTGTAATCCAATACAAGCTTGGCAAGTCTGCATTTGGATAGATTGTAGTATAAAAGCATGACTGGCTAGCGTACTGTACATGTCTTTCTAAAATATTGGAAATTCGTAAGTGCAGGGTTTCCCGGCCTGATTATCAAGCAAGCATACTTCTTTCGCTGACAAGGATCAAGTAATAAGATGCTTTGTACGTTGACATAACCACATACTTACCATGCAGATTTTCAGTGAGTGTGGTTTAGACCTCGGGGCTAAGGAAAACGGACAAATATTTGATCCTCTAAGTGATGGACCCGGTAGATTTATCCACATTAGGCACGATCCCCATTCGGCATACTCTCGTTTTGCCAGTGAACTGACAGTCTTCAACGAAATGTATTAGTATCTTGTAAATTTGCATTCCAACTGATAGTTGGGAGGACCTTACATGAAAAACATTCGAAGTTTTCCGTTAGGAATATTTGTATTGGGAGGTGGAACCCAAGAACGTGCCAATTCGAACGTCATAAAAACCGATATTTGTCGAGTTTACTTTGTTGTTGAAAAGCTTGAAAACAATGTGTTTGTGCCACCCGACCACCTCATCACTTCATATACCTGTATACATTTGACTTCTGGTGTAGACAGTAGGGTATTACTGTTATTAATGACATCTTGCCCTTTGTTGACAATTTCGACTTTCTCGAATGTCAAGTTATCGAAGGTTCATGATTAAAAAATGTTCTCAATGTCATTCGACTTGGTGACTTTATATTCTTTCCTGGTTTTGATGAAGGCATCATGACGGGGGTCACATGCGGTACAGGATGTCCTTTTAATTTGTCAAGATTCTGTAGTGACGTGGTGGTATCCTTTTTTTAATTTTATTTATAAACCTGACTTTACTCCTCTAATTATAAATGTAAATACATTGATGACATCATAATATCTTATAGTTTACCATTGATTGCCTTTTCCTGGCCAAAGCTCATTGTCCATTACATCACAATATAAAAGAGAACCTCATTTAGGTGTCAAAAACATTGTAAAATTGCACGATGAAGCCTCATCATTAGAGGCGAAACTAGTCGGCCAAATAAACATACAAATCCACTTAATCGGTGACACTTGAGTATGTTGTGATAATTATCCTACTTTTGATGTATACATTATATAAAATGACCACTAATTTGGGGCTGTAATTTGCCCGTCTAGCTTCAGGAGTTTTACCAGTGATTTCCACCATCCTAATCATTCCAGGGGCTACTCTCACTAATTTTCTCTGCACCACTGTAATATGTCAAAATCAAAGGCTCTGTACACGCCAACTTGCAGAAGAAACCAGAACTACATGTAATCTGATCAATTGATGTACCTCAAAACCTTTGGGGTAGCGTAACGGTAAAATTAACCAACTTCGAAGTCGTCTCTCTCCTCTTTAATCTTGAACAGGTATCAGTCTTGCAATTGGTTCGTTTTTTTAGACCTGAAACCAATCAGATAGCTATCCTTGTGCTTTCAGTTTCATCATGACATATTCATAACAGGGGTGCAGAGGGATGCAAGAACGATTTCCACCTTTTGGTCCCTAGCATCACCAATGAGCTCTAGAAGGACGAAACAGCTGTATAGTACAGTGTCATTCATTTTTGGCATACTGTGTCAATTACCAAATTTTATTGGTGCAATGCAAACAAATATGAAGAAGGCATCAACCATATATATAAGCAAGGCAAGTGTTTATTCATGTTAATTTACAGTATAGAAACAGTAATATGATCTAGTACAATATGTGCAGTCTGTCACAGGAATCGTTCTCATCCCTTCAAACCCTCTCCACACACACACGGAACAGTGATGCACCTCTAATATACAGCAACAGTAAGTGTAAATATCACCCCTTCAACCAACAGTTAGTGAAATAAATAACAGGAGGTTTGCGTAAAAGAATGTCTAAATGAAAAATGCAACATTGTTGAAGTTTTAACGCTAAATATAGGCATAAACTGGAATTGTTTGCTCAAAAAGATATAAAAAAATCAACGCTATGCATATATGACATTGCTTAAACTAAGGTGTTTTCTAAAATAATTATATCAACATACGTTATTAAGAGATACAAAACAATGTGTATCTTAATATGCTTTTTCTCTCAACCTGTTGTAAATTCAGATTTCTTCTGTAATATTAACCAATATATAAAATGTTTACCTTTTTACTTGGAATACAAGGAAAAAAATTATATGCTTATAACTGGTAGCCAATACAAAAACAACACCACGAATTAGCAGCAAAAATGATATGTGACTTACAAATATACAGCTTTATTACCTCCGTAAAAAGTTTATTAAAACTATCCATTTCTTAATTACTTGACAAAAAAAAAACATGACTTGCTCAGATTCTAGATTTATTCAAATGTACCGATCTTGTAAGAAATGTTCAGTGATTTTTCATGTGTTCTTTTAAAAATGTGTACCAAATTGTCAAAAAAAAACCAACCAATTCTATGATTTGAAATTATCACCAATGAATAAATAATACAAAATTATCCATCTTCAAGCAGGTCTTTACAAAATACAATTTTATGTTTCGGCAAATAAAACTCTATACAACTGCTAAGCTTATCGCTCTTGTTTCTTTCAATATACATTCACCCTGTTATGAATCCACCCGTAAGTTTTTTTTCACTCTAAGAAATGTACATATTTTATTTGCTTTTTTCAAGGTACTTGTCTAAAGGCCAAAATAAAATGGGCTGAAGATCAATTGATCATTTTAAAGTAAATGGTACATGTATTTGACAACAGCAAAAACTAGTGTTTTCTTCTAAGACTTTTTAAAAGCTAACTCTCTGAAAACTTACTATTACAGTAACTCTTAGGTGAAAGCAACAAACTTCCAAATTTCAAAGTACACAATAAAACTTCACTGAAAACCCGACACACTTGATGTATCATATAAAAAGAAAAAGAAACAACTTTCTCCAGTTTTGCCCAAAATTAATGTACATTGTAACTTCATGATTATAATGTGAGTGTAAAAAAAATGATATTCCTATAGATAATTATAGATTATAAAATATTTAAGTAGGAAATAGTCAAAATATACTACATGTTTTATAATAAATATTGCTCTTAGTTTCGATACATTCATTTAGCTTGCACCTTGAACACTGTATCTCTTGCCTTAAACAATATAAACGTCTCTTTGCACAAAAACGTTCAGAGAGTTAAAGATATGACCACTTCTCTTGCATAACAGCACTTTCATTTTAATATGACCACTTCTCTTGCATAACAGCACTTTCATTTTAAAGCATTAATATAACATATAACAATAATACAGCAACTTGAACCTGTCAAGTGGTCTTATGCCTTGATCACAAGAACGCTAAACTTGCATCTTGGATCATATCATTGGCTCTTCTTTAAGAAATTTATAACAAACGCCCGTCTCTCCAGATGAGTTCAAAATTCTATACCAGAGAAAAAGTCCTTTCAAAACATTCTTACCATACATTTCATTTCAAGGAGGCCATTTTTTTTTACCTTGGATCTTTTCAAGTCTTGAAAACAAATTTCTTTTCATGCAGGTATTTCTGATATCATCGTAGAATAATTGGGTTATACATTTGAACATTTGTGCTAAAATCAATGCCCACTCTAGAATGGACTCGCGTCCATTGTTAGTGGTAAGTCTGGGCTCACAAGGTGACAATATTTTGGTGCACACTAGTACTACTTCAGCCAGCTGGCTGTAGTTTGAACTTTGTTCTAATATGCAAATCTCATTTCAGGGCTGTAACCAAGCTTTTCCAGATTGGGAATACAGGCAAAGTTGATCATAGGCGGGGGTCCACACATGATGATCATTGTGCTGTCTCCGGGGCCAGGAAGGTGGTCTTTGATCATGTCAGCGCTCACGAACCCCTTACTGTAGGTCCAATCTGTGGAAAGAATGGATAAAATTGGTATATTACATGTTAAGATGGTAGATTCCTTGTAGATTTTCATGGGTCAATGTTGATTCTGCCAAGGTTAGCCGAGTTTATTTTGAAAATTTTATCATTTAGTTGTTTTTTTCCTTCTCTCAATAACAACCATCAAGTAATTTCGTAATTTTCCAACCTTGTTTTAGTTCTACCAGTTGCCAACCTCTGTATGATTTGCTACAATTTTCTTGATTGATTCTGTGTTCAAACCAACTATTGATGTTACTCGTTTAAATCAAGGGACACCATCAAAAAGTGAAGTTAACAAGAGGCCCATGGGCCTTAACGGTCACCTGAGTCCTACAGTATTTATTTTTGTTGTTGAAATATGTACCAATTTAAGTAAAAAATAGTTAAGTATAATGTTAACTTAACTTTGTCAGGACCATGAGCTGATCATTCCTAGACCGATTTTAAATAAGATCGGCCTATTATTAATTGTTTTTAAGTTTAGAATAGGTATTTACAAAATAGCGACTGTGGTGGCCATATTGGATTTCTGATTGACCTGAAAAATAACAACACTTTGTCAGGACCATGAGTCGATCATTCCTAC